TTATCGATTTCAGCTGCTTCTGCAATCTTCTGCAGCCGCAGAAGTACAACCACTGCAGGCATGCTCTGCAGGGTCCTGGGCAGAGAGGTCGCAAGGGGCCGAGCCCGAAGACGTATGTCGCTGTGGGGCAAGTACGGGCACTCTCCAGCAAAAAGAGCTAGAGTGGGTGCTCAGCTCGCCTTTCGACGGCAAGCTGCGAGCAGACCTTGGCCTCGTTCAGAGAGAGCCGAGGCGATGGAGGGGGTGCATCTCACTCTCATCAGCGACGACGCCAAGCTCAGAGAGACGTTTGCAGTCGAGCTCACAGCCGACACCTTCGTGCCGAGGGGAAAGATTGCCAAGCAGAGGAAGGCACTTCGCGAGAGAGATCATGCGGGGCGCAGCAGCTTCAGAGTACAGATCAAGTCGAGGTCAAGCATGAGCACAGGCCGCTTCTCGAGGAAGGAGATGGAAGCGCTGTGCGGAGGAGGTAACACATCGATCACGAGAGTCAAGCGAGCCATGTTGGAGTTAGCAAGAAGAATGAACCTCAAGCTGGTCAGCGTCGAGGTCGAGGAGGATCGTGACACGCTCAGCTGGGATGGGAGCCTGATAGCTCTCTCCCTGGCGACCAAGGCAGAGGCTCGACGCTTGATGGAAGACATGCCCTTCTACTTGGAAGGGCTTAGGGTTTAGGGTTTAGGGTTTAGGGTTTAGGGTTTAGGGTTTAGGGTTTAGGGTTTAGGGTTTAGGGTTTAGGAGGCGCCGTTATTTTCGGCAGGCGCCGTTATTTTCGGCAGGCGCCGTTATTTTCGGCAGGCGCCGTTATTTTCGGCAGGCGCCGTTATTTTCGGCAGGCGCCGTTATTTTCGGCAGGCGCCGTTATTTTCGGCAGGCGCCGTTATTTTCGGCAGGCGCCGTTATTTTCGGCAGGCGCCGTTATTTTCGGCAGGCGCCGTTATTTTCGGCAGGCGCCGTTATTTTCGGCAGGCGCCGTTATTTTCGGCAGGCGCCGTTATTTTCGGCAGGCGCCGTTATTTTCGGCAGCATGGCTCCTCGTCAGGTGTAGGGGAAGCCGCCAGGGCGCCAAGGAAGCTGCAAGCGAGAGGTTTGTATACGTCAAATAGCTTTCTAAGTATGGTTCTTCAGTATGATGAAAATGTTCGCAACCTGCTGTATCGGAGATCATGCCAATACACGCAGAGCGGACTTGTGGATGCCTCTGTCCTCGAAGCTGATCTCGTCGAGAGGGTGAAGAGCTTCGCGAAGCGTTATCCGAACAGCAGGACAGCCCAGGCTTGCAAGGCTGTGGAGGGATGCACCCCCGACGCTATCGCAGAAGCCATCCGCTCGACATGTCAGCAGGCACGACGTGAGCTTCTGCAAGAAGCGATGGCTGGATGGAGTGACGCATCCAGAGAGTGGTTTATGCAGCAGATTGAAGAAGCCAAGAAGGAGAAGGTCGAGACATACACCGCCTCAGCAGGCAACGAGGTGACTTCCTTCATCTCCATGACTCTCCTGGGCATCTCCTCGGTGTATGTCAACCATGAAGAAAAGCTGAAGAAGAAATTTGAAGAGATCGGACTGATCGTAGACTCAGTGCAAGAGAGTAAAGCAATCATGTGGAAGGCTCCGTATAGACCCGAGATAGCGAGTGCTGAGGAGATCCCGGTGACTGTTTCCTTCCTCCGCAATGCACAAGCGGAGAAGCTCTGGCAGGGAAGAGAGGACTTCGCGATCGATGGTCGCAAGTTCACAGCTGTACATGTGAGCATCGTGCACGATCGATCTTTCAAGATTCGAGCCAAGAGAGGACCCTGGGGCAAAGGGGGCAGCTTGGCAGAGCTGACTCACCTGCTAACCTTGGGCGGCATGACAACGGCTGAGATAGCTGCCGTCTATCGCTATCAGCTGCTGCGCCAGTCCCTTGCAGCGGTACAGCTCCAGCCGCTGGCAGGCATGCTGGTCGCTGGGGCGCCAGGACAGCAAGTCCACAAAGGCTTAGGTCAGAAAGGCTTCATCGCTGTAGGGGCCAACGTCATCTGGAGACAGAGGGAGGTGGAGTGGATCGTCTCCTCGAGCTGCCCAGAGGCGAATGATACAGCATTTCGAGCTTTCCGAGAGAGCGAAGCGATGGAGGGAGTACACCTGACTCTGTTCAGCGAGGACCCGAAGATCAGAGAGGCGCTCGCAGTCGAGTTGACAGCTGATCGCTTTGTGTCCAGAAATAAGTTGAAGAAGGCATCAAGGATGCAGAAGAAGGCAGGCGGCAAGGACGGCAAGGAGATCAAGATCATCATCAAGTCGACGGCGGCATCTGGTCGCTTCACGAGGAAGGAGATGGAGGGGCTGTGCAACGGCGGCAACACGTCTATCGCAAGAGTCAAGAGAGTCTTGTTGGAGATCGCTAACAGGCTCGAGATCAACGTTGAAGGCATCGACATGGAGGAGGATTTGAACACCAAGTCCTGGAACGGGTCCAAGCTATGCATCCTCCTCGGCTCCACGGAGGATGCTCGACGCATGATGAAGGAGCTGCCCTTCTATCTCGAAGGCGCAGCCACCAAGCTCGAAGCAGTCGGCTTCGACAAGGAGCCTGACTCTGAGGCGGCTGGTCAGCGGGGCACCAGCGACGCAGCGCAGCGGCAGGAGGAGAGCGAGGGAGAGTGGCTGGAGTTTACAGACCTGGAGAGGATCACAATGGAGGCAGCATCTCCGTCAAGCCAAGAGGACATGCAGCTCGTCAGCGAGCTGTCAGCAGTCATCGAAGATGCAGCTTCTTTGAACGAGGCGGGGACGAGCGAGCCGATCAAGCTGGTCCTGGACAAGGCCGTTGGCAACCTCCACGACACCTTCTACTCTCCGGGGAGCCTGGAGTTCATGTCGCTGGGAGAGTGGGCGAAGATGCCAGAGGAGCAGGGAGTTGGGCGCAACGTTCTCAAGGAGAAGCTGGGGAAGTGGCTGCAGAGCAAGCGCTGGACTCGCGTGCAAGGAGAGAGCAAGAAGGCAAGGAGGGGCAGCGCGTTCTCGCCACGGGCAACGGCAGCTGCTGAGCTTGAGCAGGAGGCGGAGAGCGACGACATAGAGCGTCGATCTCTTAGCTTCCTGTTCATAGCACTGAGTAAATTCGCAGAGATGCATGTGCTGGCCTGCTCGCTGAAGGTGGACAAGAAGGACCGACTGCGAGTGGAGATGAGGGAAGATGACGAAGAAGAGGAAGACATGGAGGAAGAGCAAGGCGAGGGCGAGGAAGAAGACGGGGCGAGCCCGTACCGAGCTTGAGCTGAGCCCAAGGTAAGGAGAGAAGGTAGGAGGCGACCGAAGGCCAAGGTGAGGAGAGGCAACTCTCCTGACTGAGGCTGAGGAAGCTGAATGGAGGAGGAGTAGGGGGCGACCGAAGGCCAAGGTGAGGAGAGGCAACTCTCCTGACTGAGGCTGAGGAAGCTGAATGGAGGTAGAGTAGGTGGCGACCGAAGGCCAAGGTGAGGAGAGGCAACTCTCCTGACTGAGGCTGAGGAAGCCAAGAGAAGACAGCAGAAGTAGAGAGTAGAAAGACGCCTCAGAAGCAGGGTTCGCATTGTAGGCCGTGTACTCCCAGTGCTCGAGCGCCTCTTTAGACTAGGATCAAATTGCATAAGCCCACAACGAGGCCGAGCAACATTCTAGCATTCTAATAAACTCACATAATAATAATAATAATAATAGGGTTTAGGGTTTAGGAGGCCGCTGGAGTAACAGACAGGCCGCTGGAGTAACAGACAGGCCGCTGGAGTAACAGACAGGCCGCTGGAGTAACAGACAGGCCGCTGGAGTAACAGACAGGCCGCTGGAGTAACAGACAGGCCGCTGGAGTAACAGACAGGCCGCTGGAGTAACAGACAGGCCGCTGGAGTAACAGACAGGCCGCTGGAGTAACAGACAGGCCGCTGGAGTAACAGACAGGCCGCTGGAGTAACAGACAGGCCGCTGGAGTAACAGACAGGCCGCTGGAGTAACAGACAGGCCGCTGGAGTAACAGACAGGCCGCTGGAGTAACAGACAGGCCGCTGGAGTAACAGACAGGCCGCTGGAGTAACAGACAGGCCGCTGGAGTAACAGACAGGCCGCTGGAGTAACAGACAGGCCGCTGGAGTAACAGACAGGCCGCTGGAGTAACAGACAGGCCGCTGGAGTAACAGACAGGCCGCTGGAGTAACAGACAGGCCGCTGGAGTAACAGACAGGCCGCTGGAGTAACAGACAGGCCGCTGGAGTAACAGACAGGCCGCTGGAGTAACAGACAGGCCGCTGGAGTAACAGACATGCTCTCCTCCCCTGCAGTTTGAGGGGATCCCTGCGAGCTAGGGTGCTGAACAGGATATTTTTCTGTGCAGAAACGGTTGTTTGATCATGTGGTATCTATCCAAAGAGGAAAGGAAACAGATTGCTCGTGTCCGAGTTTCCCAGTTCCTAAACAAGGACACGACACCTTCAGCACCTTCGCTAGGAGAGCTGATCCGAAGATTGGAACACTTCGTCAGGCAGTACCCTCAGAGCAGGACAGGCAGAGCCTTGCAGTCCAAGGAAGTCTCGATGAACGCCTTAGCCGAAGCCATTCGACAGACCTGCAAACATGCTGAAGTCAGGAGCCAGGAGGATGCCATCAAAGAATGGGGGGAAGAAGGACAGTCGTGGTATGTCTCTGCATGGAACGCAGACAAACAGGAGGTACTAGACAAGAGTGCCTGCATCGATGCTTCAGGAGCGTCCCCCGAGAGTGGTAAACTGATCACCATGGCTATCCTCGGAGTTCCTACCCAGTACATAAAACAAGTTGAGGTACTGTGTGAGAAGTTGAAGGATCAAGGACTCTTGGTGCACGAGGAGCAGGGCAAGAAATGCATCTCGTGGAGAGCCCCGATCAAGAAAGATTTGATTCCGACAGTGGATGAAATCCCAGTCGTGGCAACACTCCAATTGAACGACGCAGCAGAACTGCTGTGGAAAGGACAGACGAACTTCAGGATCGACGGAAAGATGATCCGCGCGGTGAACGCGCATTCGAAGCATCCTTGCTCCTTCAAGATAAGGCCACAGAAGGATAAGCACTCTGGCAAGGCGGGGGCCCTAGCTGAGTTCTCTCACCTCCTCAAGATGAATGGCATGAACTCAGCTGGGATTACGGAGATCTATCGTCAACACCTGCTGCAACAAGGAATAGCTGTGTTGGAGGTGCAGCCGGAAGCGGGCATGCAGCTAGAGGTCAAGACGAAGAGGAGACCTCAAGGTCAACCCAACAAACGCACTTTCGCAGCAGCCGGAGTGGACGAGATACGACAAGGAAGAGAGATCGATTGGATTGCGAGATGCTCTTCGACGGACGTCCTGAGCACCACGCTACGGATGTTTGAGGGAGACGACAGGAATGGAGGAAGCATACACCTCGGACTGATGTCGGAAGATGAAAAAATCCTCAAATGGTTCACTACTCAGGTTAGTGCAATCACCAGGGTAACGAGACAGCATCCAATTAGGTTGGACTTCTTGCCCGACGCGCTAGGAGCAGTACCACGAAGAGTGACCTATGAGGTACTGGTCAAGAGTAAAGCACAGAAGGGAAGGTTCACCAGAGAGGAAGCTGAACAGATCTGCGACGGGGAGGATCTCTCTATGGGCATGACAATTCGAGGACTGAGACGGATCGTGGCGAGCTGGAAGGAGTCAGCGGCTGAGCACATCGTCAAGATCTCCTCGAAAGAAGATGTCGAGACCAACAGCTGGAACGGTGAACATCTAGTGCTCAGCTTCTCAGAAAAAGAAACGGCGATTGACATCCTCAGGTCCTTTGCGCCATGGGACAGGGCAGGGAAACTTCTTCTCCTAGAGCCAGGCAGTGCCAACATCTGGGAAGCGATCGCTACAGAACCCCCTACAGAGCCTCTTTGGGCTCAGGTAGATCTCGAACGGATCGAGAATGAGATCAACATCCCAGAACCAGAGGCAAACGTGGTCCTCGAAGACATCTACAAAGTTCTAGAGGAGACTGTCAACCAGGGACAGAGTGCAGAAAACCAAGCTTGCAAACTCAGGCTCGATGGAGCCATCGTCGGCCTGTACGACAGCTTGTCATCTCCTGGAAATGCATGTTTTCCGACGCTGAAGGAATGGGCGGAATCATCCTCGGCAACCCAGGACGACGACATGCAAGTTTTGAAGAGTAAGATTGCAAGAGTAAGCGAGCAGCATGCGTGGGAGACGGTAGCATCAAGAAGACGCCAGGGAGCCTTTGCAAAAGCAACAGGGAGAGGAGGGGAGAAACAACAAAAAGAATTTCGAACTGACCTGTTGTTTCTTGCCCTGAATAAAGTAGTTTCCACAGCTACGCTAACCTACCAAGGCAGCGTTGGCTCGGGAGACGAAATTGAGTTTCTCTTGAGCAAGGCAGAGGAGGAGATGGGACTGGAGATGGAAGAGGAGAGTGGCAACCAAGAGGGAGAGGTTGCCTCTCAACTCTAAAACCGAATCATGACAGGAGGAGGAAGGGAGGAGGAAGGGAGGAGTGCCGGGAGTAGGCAAGGGGGGGAGATGGAAACGGTTTCAAAGGAAACGCAACATGTAGATAGAACACTGTATTTTTTTGATTGGATCGAGGAGATCCCATGGTCGGACAAACGAGGCGACAAGGAATTTGGCATCACTGCCCTGAACAATCGAGGAGTAAGAGGATTTTTATGCGAGAACATGATCGAAGTTACTCTCAATGAGATGAGCAAGGCTCTTCAAGGAGGACGAGCAATACACATGGTACGCAAAGGGAGAGCCCACGAGAACCAGCAAACGCGGAACATCATCTTCTTGCCAAGGGTAATATCCAGTCTGCGAGACGAGGCGTCCCGCTGGAGAGTCGGGAACAGATTTCACCTCAGCAGCTTGAGAGATGAGCAACACACCTTCCTGTTTCCAACTATCATCCACAGCAACCACTGGATTCTAATTGCATTAAGATATGATCGGCGATGCGCGTACATATTGGACCCTCTCTGCGAGGACAGAACGAGCACAACGAGGGACCCACGAGGGATCGAGGGAGCGAGGAATCTTGCAACAACGGGGGAGCACGGAGCAAGAGAAATGGCTGAGCTGACAATCGGAGTGATCGAACACATCTTTGACGATCAGACCAACGCCCCATGGCAGGTAAAGTGGTGCTCAGCCTTCCAACAGGAAGATAACTTCAACTGCGGAGTGTTCGCTATCCTTCACACCCTACTGCTCTGCGAGACAAATCAAGACTGGCTAGCAACGATGGAAACGAGGACAAGACTAAGACCTCCGCAAGAATGGCTGATGCAAACCAGAACACAACTGATCGAAGCTCTCACCCATCTGGAGAAGATGGAGGAAACGGCCCAGGTAATTCTGCGATCTCTGCCGAAGGAGGCGAGGGTGCAAGAGAACTTGACATCGACGACAAAGCCGGAGGAGGAGGTACAGCCGAACGCAATCCAGCGGCTGATGACCTCGACGACAAAGCTTGAGGAGGAGGTACAGCCAAACGCAATCCAGCGGCTGATGACCTCGACGACAAAGCTTGAGGAGGAGGTACAGCCAAACGCAATCCAGCGGCCGATGACCTCGACGACAAAGCTTGAGGAGGAGGTACAGCCGATCGCAATCCAGCGGCAGGCGACCTCCACGAAGCCCCAACCAAGACATCTTGGTGAGGAAATGGAGGAGAATGCACACTCAGGAGAGAAAACCTCCCAGATAGGGAAGGAGCGGAGGGGGAAAAGGCAGGAGGAGCAAAGGGGCAATGATTGGGCGCAGATGCATCGAAAAAGCTCAGACCCAGGTTTCCTCATCTCACAAAATGTGAATGGTTGCAATCACTTTGTTCTCAAGCACATCCTCGCATACTTAATCCAGTCCTTCCAACCTGGGGTTGTGCTACTACAAGAGGTAAGGGTCTCGGCCCGCGACGAGAACAAATTAAGGAAGATGATCAAGGAGAACTGGGCCTGCTACAGAATCTTCCTGGGGCCTGCAAAGATCAATGCGAAGAAGGGGAAAGGAGACCTGAGGTTGGTAACGCTGGTACATGCGGCCCTGTCGCCGTCACCCTCCCCTGCCGCTCACCAGGCGTGCAACAAAGAAAAGAAATATCGAAACCGAGTGTTTTCGATCAAAGTCGGAACAGGGAAAAATTCTTTCTTAGTCACAAACCTCCATCAGGTACCTGCGGAAAATGCGATTCGAGAGCAAGGGGAACTGTGGGCAGAGCTGCTACACCTCGCTCTGGGAACGAGAGAGACACACATCATAGCCGGAGACTTTAATGCAGCAAGAACCAACACAACAACACCAATGCGGAGAGGATATTCCCCCTCATCTATCACCGCAAAAGCAGATGAGAGATTCGAGAAATTCCTGGCAGACCTTTCCGCACACCGTACACTCTCATATGAACAGATCAGCGAGACTGGGACAACATTTACCTTCTCAACATGGTACAAACAAGAACTGATAGAAGCCAAACTCGACGCAGTTCTCGCTATTCACCCCCCAAGTGACGAGGACAACTTTCCCAACATCTCCCTTCAATCGTGGACGGTCGACGGCTGTGTGATAGGGGGAGCAGTTGATCACAGAGCCCTGGTGGTGCAAGTACACACCAAGTTCACGTCCGAGGAGACGCAGCTAATCCCACGAGTAGAAGTGCATCAGATGAATTCACGACAGAAGAAGGGGGAAACCCCTAAAAGCAGATGGGTGCTGGATCGCGATTCGTGGGAGGAGAAGAAGATCGAATGGGCGCAACAACTAGATGCAAACATACGAGACATGCGAGCTAAGGCGCAAGAATGTAACATTTGTGAGATGCTCGCCAACTCTCTACCACTAAAGGAGGTGAAAATCAGAAAGGGAGGGAGGCGACATTCGAACAAAGAACAAATGGATTTGAAGAGATCGATCCGCAACTTGCGGACTAAACTTAGGGAAGCATCACAGCAAAGCCCAGCGACTGGAGTACCTACGGAAGCTACATTACAAAGAGAATTGCGAACTAAGATCGAGAGGTTCAGAACGATATGTGAAGAACAAAACAACGAAGTTTTCCAAGAGATCTGCCAACAGCAGCAAACACGGCTAGGCACGGTAGGCAGCCGTGAATCCCAGAATGCAATGGGACGCAAGAATGATTTCATTCCCAAAGAACCGATGATAAGTCAAGACATCAAGAAAAAACACCCCAACTCCCTTCGTTGCCACAAAGGCTTGGCTCTTCGACTGCTCGCTAAGATAGTCGACAATGCCGACGAGCTCATCAACCAAATCGAAGCAACCCTATCTAGCGAAG